GGGGCCGCGCCGGCCCCGCGGGGGGGGCGGGCGGTGCCGCTTTATAAAGCGGCGGGCGCGGGGCGGGGGCAGCGCCTCGGAGCGCCGTGGGACGGGGCAGAGGCACCGGGCAGCGGGGCCTGCCCAGCCCCGGCGGGGCGGAACGGCTCGGAGCGGCTCGGGCCGGTCCCCCGCCGCGGCCGCCGGACGGGATGAAGCTGCGGGTGTTTTTATGGGGGCTCTACTGGCTGGTGCTGCCGCTCGCCCTGCTCGCCGGTGAGTGCGGGGCGCGGGGAGGCCCCCCCTAAAGGTGGAGCGGGTGGCGGGGGGATCCCCCCCAAACGTGGAACTGCTGGGTCGCCCCGCACGTGGAGCGGGTGGCGAGAAGATCCCGCCGTGTGAACCGGGTGGGACTCCCCGCTGCCGGAGTCTCTCCCACGCGTGAAGCGGGTGGCGAGGGGATTTTCCCCCCCTCCCCCCCGCCGTGAACCGTGTGGCGAGGGGATGCCTCCAGTGCGTGGACGTGGCGGGTCCTGCCGCGCGTGGAGCGGGTGGCGGCGGGGGTCTCCCCACGCGTGAGCCCGGGGCTGTACTGGCTGCTGCAGCCTCTCGCCAGTGACTGCGGGGCGCAGGGGTCCCTCCCACAAGTAGCCTTGAGGGGCGCGGGAAGTTTCCCCCGTGCGTGAACCGAGAGGTGCGGGGGCCCCTCCGCGCGTGGAGCGGGCGGCAGGGGAAGTTCCCCCCGCGCATGAGCCGAGGGCGAGTGGATCCCTCCATCCATGAACCCTCCAGGGGTGGGGAGGAGCCGCCCCGGGAAGAGCCGCCAGTGACTCCGGGGGGTCGGTGGCAGGACGGCGGGGTGGTGCGGTGCACCCACGGGGAGATCATCCTAAGTGTCGCCCCGCTCGCGTGACCCAGCCCACTCGCGGGTAACGCTGCGACTTTCTCCGGGCTGGTGGGGAGGGGGTGTGTGTGCGGGTTCCCCCCACTCCGCCTCCCCCGTCGCTGGGCACCCGCTGTGGGGGAAAGTGACCCAGCTGGGGCACTGCCGTGTCACTGCGCTCACTCTGCTGCGGTTGTAAGGTGGGGGTGAGGGGTGTGCTGGGGGCCCGGGTCGGCCGATGCCGGAGGGGCAGCTGGCACCCATCCCGTCTCCGTGCCCGGGTACATCCCGGGGGGCAAGGTGCCCACCCCAGCCCCCGCCTGTCCCCAAGCTGCCACCGGCCCATTCCAAGCACGGCTTGCCTTTGATGGCAGATGTGCCACCCACCGAGGCAACCGGCTGGCCACCGGCCTGGAAAATCCCCGTGTCCCGGGACGCGGAGGACAAGAATCGGCTCTTTGAACCCCGGCCGCTCCGGAGCCGCTTCGGAGACGCTCCGTTTGCGTAGACGCAAAGGAAAAACCTCTCTATAAACAGGATTGTTCAACGGGCTCCTTGTGCCGGACACGGGCTGGGTCCGGCTGCCGCCAACACCGGGATCACACGACCTACGCCGGGGGGTCTGAAGCCTGGGAAGTTCTGGCATGGGTTTTGGGGTAGCCTTAGTATGACGCTTGGGGTAGTGTCACCTGGAGAGAAGGATGTGCCCACAGACAAGCAGCCCTGTTCCCAGCTGTGTTTTGGGCAGCAGGTCTGGGTTTTGGGGTGCTGGCTGTGACGCCGGTTGCGGGGGGGGGGGGTGAATCCTCACTGGCAGAGGAAGTCAGTGACTCTTGAAAAAGCTGCTTTTTCTTTGGTTTGCTGGGGCAGTGACTCAGAGCATCGTGCAGGATGTGAGGAGGTTAATTATAACCCAGCCCACGAACAGGGTTGGGAAGAAGGGGCTGTGCTCCCTGGACAGGGGGTGAACAGCTGGGCTGGGGCACAGGAGCTGCCGGCTGCATCCCATGGGTGCCTGGGGTGACACGTGGCCTCTGGGCGCAGCCTCTCATGGGGCCCTCGTTTCCCAATAGTGCTGATTTGGCCCCAAATTGTGGCAGGCTTGCTTGGCTCTTCACCCTGCTCTGGCACAGGACGTGCGGGGGACCCCTTGTCTCCCACAGCTGGGGATGTTGGTGGTCTTGATGTGCCCCTGGTGAGCTTTTAAATGGCTTGTTTAAATTTTGGGGCCCCACTAAGGCGGGGGTTCCCTCCTGCTCCAGCCGCTTGGGAAAATGGGGTGACTCAGCAGGGTCTGGGGGCTCTTGCACCTGCACCCACGTGAAACTGAGGCGTGGGGGGGCTTGTGGCTCATCCCACTGCACCTGGGTGGGAGCAAGAGCCCTGGCACAGGACCCGCCTGCAGCCCTTCCTTCCCTGGTAATTAGGCTCTTCCCAAACGTCCGGAGGATGTTTGTTTGCGGCTCCCGGCCAGCTCGGGGCAATTGGAGATGCAGGAGTTGGGCCCCACGGTGTGGCCACGGCAGTCCCCCTGCTTCCTACAGCTGGCACAGGCACAGACCCCTATGGTGGGGGTCCCAGCCACGCCGGGGGCTGTATCCCCACCTTGGTTCCCTCCTGCCTTGTGGGATTCTGGGGTGCTCGGAGCCATTGGGGGTGGGGTGGGGGGCACAGCCCACAGGTGGGGGGACTGGGCTCCCCCAGGCTGGGTGACAGTCCTGGCCATGCTGATCTGTGGTTCAGTGGTGCTTGGGCAGAAGCGAGGAGTGAGGGTGGAAACCCCTCCCTGGGGCTGCAGTGCTCCCAAAACTGGGGGTCCTGACGTGAGGACACAGCCCCCCCTTGCCCAGCCAGCGTGCTAGGGGGTCTCTGGGGGTCCTGGATGCCACAGGATTTGGTGCCCAGGCGGGTGCCAGTGGGTGTGTGGGCTTCAGGCAGCTGCCTCCTGCGGTCAGGTGCTTTTTATAAAACGAAGGGAAATAAAATAGAGGAGGAAAAAAAAAAACTCTATAAAAAAAAAAAAAAAGCCACCACTGTCTCCAAGAGCAATAACTGCTGCTTCCTCCTCGGGTGCAGGGGGATGGGATGGAGGCACAGGGCTGGCTCCTGCCCACCCAGGGTGCCCATCTCCCCAGGACTGGGCTGCCTCACAGCCCCACTGAGGTGGCTGACACTGTGGGAGGCCCCCCAGGGGTTCAGAGGACCCCCCTGGGTGAGGAGAGCAGGGTTTGGATGCTGCTTGGCACTGCTGTATGGCAGACACCTTCATGGCCCCATGGGGAATGTTATATTGGATCTGGGAATGTCCTTGTGCGATGGGAACGTTGGTCCTTGTATGTGCGTGAGTGTCACAGTGCTGAACCCGTGGCTCTGGGGGTCCCGAGGGCTGCAGTCATGGCACGGGGGAAAGGAGTGCTCCCTGGCACTGGGGTGGCACCTGTCACCCAAGCTGCTGCATTCCCTGTCCCATTACACGAGCTCCTGGCTGGTGCTGGGATTTCCCAGTCTGGCAGCCTTGGCACCCGCTGGCACCCAGCCCAGAGCCCTCCTGAGGCATCTCCTCTGGCATCCCTGGGGAGCAGGGCGGGGGGGGTTGGTGGGATCGGGATTAACTTTCCACAAAAACAGGATACGGCGGGTGAACCGATGGGGCTGTTCCCTCTTCCCGGAAGGAGAAGCTGGGGTTGGGAATATGCTGGTGGCTAGCTTGCTCCTTTGGGACTGATGGGATTTTGGGATGGGGAAAGGCTCTGTGGCTGGGATTCATCACCCTGCCTCTGGTTTGCAGCCAGTGTGTGGGTGAAGAGTGTGGGGTCCTGGGTGCAAAGTAACACCCTGGGGACCCTGTCAGGCTCCCTGGGCACCCCAGTTGGAACAGGTTAACTGGGAGGCAGCTTGTAACGGACTCATGTCAATGAGCAGGGCAGGGAATTAAAGAGCTCTTCTAATTAATCCCGAGTGGCAGCAGGTCCCCACAGAGCAGCGGCCGTGCTGGTGCCAAGCGCTGTGGTGGTGATGGTGCAAGGCTGGTGTGTGGGGCTCCGCCAGTGCTGGGGTGGGTCTAGGGAGCCCCCTTCCCTATCCAGTTGAGAATGGATCCATCCTGGAAGATGGCTGAGTGCAGGATAGTGCCTGGTTTGCAGGGAAGGGAACATGACAAACCCCAATCGTCTGGCACAGCCACCCTTCCCAGTGCAGTGGGAAAGACTCTGGTACCGACTCTTCCTGGCTGCCCCCACCTTGTTGATGGATCCCTGGGGTTCCCAGTGACCCCCTTCCCCTCCCACGGGGAAATTAAAGGCTGATGTGGATGAAGCCTGGCACACCTCAGCCAGCTCCCCGGCTCTGTGATTTATCCTCCTCCTGGCTCATTAACGTCATTAATATTTCACGTGCTGCCAGCGTTGCTGGTGAACTCCATGGGAGCTGATCCGGATGCTCCCAGGTTCACGAGGGGGAATTTGGGGCACCCATCCAGGATAACTGGCTTGGGATACAAGGCGTATGCTCGGTGCAGGCCCCGGTGTTGTGGGTGAGGGTGCTGCTTGCACAGGGAGGGGAACGGCGGGGGCCGCTGCACTGCACCCACACACCCGGCGCTCCTCGCGGGGACGGTGGGTGCAGGAGGGCAGGTTTGCTCTCCCCACCACACTCTCTCCACACGCCAAACTGGTTTTTCTCCCTGTGCCGGCACTTTCCTGCTGTCAGCACTGCGGGGAACCGGTTCCCTCTGACTGCAGGACGGAGCACCCACACACCGCCGGCACGGCACGCCCCGGCGCAGCCCTGTGAGTGCCAAGCCGGGCACCGTGGGTGCTCCCAGACCAGGCTGTGCCATACTGGGGGGCACAGTAACCACCTTTTTTCACTCTCTTTTTCATCCTTGATTGAAGCGGACCAGCCTGCCAGGAGCTTTCCTGGTGAAGGGCGAGCTGCTCGTGGGTGCTGGTGGCACCAAATAAGGGGGTCAGCATATGTGTGCCCCCCTTGGTGCTCAGCAATTCCTGTGGGTCTCCCCATGGAGCCCACAATCCCTGTTCTCTGTGGGACTCCCAGCCATGCCAGCAGGGCTCTGTGGTGCCCCTGGTGCTGCCAGCACCCACAATGTGTCCATGGCTGGGCTGGGGGCTCCCGGTGGGGCTGGTTCGCCCTAAAGGTGGGCACTGGGGTGAGTGGGTGCTGGGATGGGGGTGCCAGTGGCCAAGCAGGGGCTGACTGGCTCCCACAGAAGCTGGAGCAGTGTCTCGCCCCCGTGCCGGGAAGGCTCCTCTCGGCCCCGTTGGCGCGGGAAGGGGAATATTTGCTCCATGAGATCATGGTGTGCCGAAACACAGCCAGCAACCCTCAGCAGCGTGCAGGAGGTGACGCGTCCTGGGGTCACCACGGGGAGGTGGCTGGTGGGTGATGGTCCTGATGCCCGCTCCCTGTGCCCCCCACCCCTGCTCGAGGTCTGGCTTCCTGGCACTGGGGACAGATGAGACCTCACTGCAGAAACAGGGACTGGTTTTAGCTCTGCTGGGTCCTGCGTGGGACGTGCCCTGGGTGCATTCCTGGGTGCTCCCTCCCACCGCCCCTGCACCCTCTGAGGATGCCCTGGGATGCTGGGCAGCTCACAGGGGGCTGCACCGTGTCCCCCCCAGCGGTGCTGCTCTCCACCCCAGGATGTGTTGTCCCACTGAAACCTCGTAAACACAGGAAGGGCCGTGCCGGGCTGTGGTGCTGAGCACGTCCCTGGCGCCCAGCCGGCCCCCCCTCACCCCTCCAGCCCCACGGGACCAGGGCTGTCCTCTGGGCCCTCCCCAAGTGAGGTGCCAAGGGAAGCAGGTCCCTGCCCTGGCTGCTCAGAGTCGGTCCCCAGCACTGGTTCCCTGTGACTGTCCCCTCCCTGGGCTGTCTCAGAAGGATTCCCCTACCCAGAGTGGGGTTCCTCTGCTGCTGGGTGGGAGCGCAGGGATGTGTCCCTCTGCTTTGCAGGAAAGGGGGTGGAAAGATGCCCTGGGACTGCCTGGAGCAGGGGCACAGTGACATAGATAGCTCAGCCCCCACCATGACTCGCCCCCACTCCAGCCAAGCACTGATTCGGTGGGTGCCTTGTGCCTGCCCTGTGGATGCACCCAGCTCATGCTGGTGCATGTGCTGGTGTCTGTCACTGTTCGTACAGTGACCAGAACATTGTGTCCCAGCCGGGGTTGCAGCTGCCCCTCCGTGTCCCCTCTGTGCTATCCCTGTCCCCATCCCTGTTCCTTTCCCCGGCGGCAGCTCCACAGGGCGCTGGCTCGGCCCGGCTCCTCCGATGGTTTCGTGCCTCCAAACAAGCTGTAATTTGGGTCTAAAAATAAGTGAGGGGGAAGGTGCTGAGCTGGTGGCACACCCAGAGTGGGGCTGGGTGCAGGTGAAGGGCTGTACCAGGCCGGGTGGGAGGTCATGGGTGTGGGTCCCAACCTGGCCGCAGGGGTGCCTTTACACCTCAGTGTGGTTTTGTGGGAATGATGTGGAAACACAGCAGATTTTGGTCATGGATCTAGTCCCCACATATTTAGGACTTTTGGTGTCCCCCCTCTCTGCGCCACCCATGTGGGTCACCAGGAGTGATCCAGCCTGTGTCCTGCTTTTCCCATCAGCATCCCTGGGGGAACTTGACTCCCTGTCCTACCTGGCATTACCCTGGGATCACCTGGCATTTTGGGGTACCTTTCTTTTGGGTATCCCCAGGGCAGAGGGATGCAGCAGGGAGCCCTCCCCACACCACATCCTCATCCCTAACCCTGTCCCTCTGTCCCCAGCCTGCATTTTCCGCTTCAATGTCCTCTCCCTGGTGTACCTGCTCTTCCTGCTGATCTTGCCCTGGTTTCCGGGACCCAAACGGGGCTCTGCCACAGGTAAGGGGCTCATCGTGGGGTGCAAGGAGTGGGCAGCAGGGGGGCTGCCAGCTCCCCTCCAGTGGGCACCTGCCCTCCTCCCCTGTGGTTTCTCTGCGTGGAGCCTCACTCCGTTAATTATAGCCCAGTGTGGCTATTAATAGCCCTCCTGAAATGGCCAGTTTGGAGCCTTATTAACCTAAAAACCTCAGGGTTGGGCAGTGCCTGCCAGGTGGGCACACCACAAGCAGCCCCTCCGCCCAGGGGGCGTGTTGTGGTGGGTGCAGGTGGGCACTGGGTGCCCGTAGCCCCGCTGTGCCAGGCTCTAACCTGCCCCAGTGCCTGGCATGGCCACAGCTAAAAGCTTTGCCCTCTGAATATTTCATGGGCTCGCACGGCCCCGGATCCCGGTCCTGCCGAAAGCCTTCGCCTGGATTTACAGGAAAAAACAGGCGGAGGAAAAGCTGTTGGCCCGGGGCCACCCCATGGCTGGCTCACAGCTGTGGTGGGCTCACTGCCTGCCCACGGACAGGAAAATGGGCACATGGCCCAGGGGGCTGGTGGGACGGGGGCACGGCTGCAGCTGGTGGAAGGTCTGACAGGACTCAGAGTGTTGGGGACCCCCTGGAGCTCTCCAACAGGACCTTCCACCATGAAAGGGGATGCTGACTGCACCCAAATGTGGTCCCTGTACAGCAGGGCCAGGGAAGTGCCTGGTGCCAACTGGGTGCTGCGGGGATGTGGTGGGAGGATGGCCCTGGGCTTTGGCTCCCTGCAGCACTCCATGCCTCAGTTTCTCCAGTAATGCTCTCAGGGTGCCCTTGAGCTGCGTTGGGTGCATGGGGAGGTGAGCAAAGCTGTGGGGGGACCCTGTCCCTGGGGCAGACCCCTGGTATCTCTGGGCACGGTGCACACTTACCAGCTCTTCCTGAGTGTACTGGGTCCCCACTGGGGATACTGGTACCCCTGGGGCCACCTTGGGCTATGGGTGACAGGTTGCCCATGTCTTGCAGGTCATGCCGGATGCATCCTCAAATGTCTACTGGCAATCAGCAGCCTCTTCGTCCTTGCCCACTTGGTTTTCCAGATAGGCCTGTACACGATTCCCACTCTGGATCAGCTGCTGGGGCTCAACTGTGAGTGCGGGGGTGTCTGTGCCCACCCTCAGCCACCCATACCTCTGCTCCCTGTGGTGCCCTGAGGCTGGACCCTTGAGCTGGTGACACGTGGGGCCCCATCCTGCTGGGTGCTCAGGGGCTAATGAGGCTCTGCAGGGTCCCATACATGTGCCCAGCTCTGGGCACGTCCTGTGCCATGCCAGGGGGCCTGCTGGGTGCCCACTGCACTGGGCACAGACCCTGACCTGCACCACTGTGGATGTGGGGTGTTCTCCCCATGGGGTGGTTGCTCTGGGTGGGCTCAGAGCCTGCCCACACAGGGTCTCAGTGCCCCCCCTGCCCTTCTTCTTGGCAGGCAGCTCCTGGGAAGTCCTTTCTCGGCACATCGGGGTCACCAGGTAAGGGTACCCTGGCAGTGGGCAGTTGAGGGCTGGCAATGGTGGGGGTGCCACCTCCGAGCCCTCCCCTGCCCCCCTTTACACCCCCAGGCTGGATTTGAGCAATATTCCCAATGTGGTGCGTCTTGTGGCACCTGATGTTGGCATCCTGCTGATCTCAGTCATGTCCTTGTGCCTGTGCCGCCTCGTCCCTAAGACCTCCTACATCCAGAGAACGGATTTCTTGGACTTCTCTGAGCTGGTGAGAGCCAACCCCGGTGCCAGCAGGACATCCCACCAAACATATCCCACTGGCTCCCACCAGCCTCCTCGTGGCTGGTCCCTGGTCCCTGTCTCCTCCCTGGGGCACAGCAGCTGGTCCCTGACTCTTCCCCTGGGCACAGACTGGGACATGGGGGCTTGGCATGGGGACATCCCTGGTGGCTGAGGACCCAGTTCAGGGCAGGTTTGGCTACGGTGAAGGCTCGGTCATCACAGCACCTCATGTGGGCTGGGGTGACTCAGCCATGGAGGAGTGCCCATGTTTGCTCCGGTGTTGCCGTAGGGATCCCACCAAACAGCTGGGACTGGGATGGGCAGTTGTGGGGTGCTGGCACCCAGCTTGAGCTCGCTGGGGCAGGGCCGGGTGCTGTGCTGTGCCAGCCCTGCCTGGCAATGCCAGCAGGTCACAGGGATACTGTGCTCGTGGCACCCAAGCCCTCAAGGTCACCCAGGTGGACACAGCCCCAATGGCCCCCCCTCAGCACAGTGAACGCCCCTGGGTGCTCTGCCCCGTTTTGGGGTGCTCTTGCTCCTCCAGGCAACGGTGCCTGGCTCTGGCCATGCCGGGCTGTAACTGGAGCATGGATGCCTTTGCTGTGAGGCTCCGGCCAGCACAGGAGGCAGCCTGGAAAAAAGCTCAGTGCTGGGAACCCGGGTCCCAGTGCCAAGAAAAACAGCCGCCCTTTGGAGGCGCTTTTCAGGCGGCTGATGAGATAAACATGGCCAGGTGCTGGGCATTGTGCCCGCCCTCCCGGCCACCCCTGCCCTCCCTCGAGTGGGGAAAGTGAGGAACGTCCTGGGACCAGGTCCTGGAGCTCACACCACCCTTGTCTTGCAGAGGGAAGTGAATGTGGGTCATCACAGATGCGCGGCCCACGCAGCCCACACAGACCACGCAACCCAACCACTGAGGAACCAGCTGCGGGTGAAGGCTGACTGGCTGCTCTGGCAGGCCGGGAAAGGACTGGCCAGCCTGCTGCTGGCATTGGCGGGTGGGTGCAGGATGCAGGAGGCACGTGGTGAGGTGGGGTCCTCCGTGGATGTGCTGCAGGAAGGGGTGCACAGTCCAAGGCGGGATGTGTGTGCAAGTGGGAGAAGATGCTCGGTCCAGAGGGGAGAGCTTGGTCCAAAATGGGGACACTCAGTGCAAGGGGGTTGTGATGCTCGGTTTTAGGGGGAGGGATGCTTGGTCCGTGGAGGCAGGATGTTCAGTTCAAGGGGGAAAGCTTGGTCCATGGACAGAGGGATGCTTGGTCAGAGGGGGAGATACTTGGTCCAAAGACGGAGGATAGGCAGTCTGAGCAGGAAGGATTTACAATCCGAGGGAGAAAGCTCAGTCCAGGAGGGAGGAGGTGCTTGGTCCAGGATAAGTGGATGCTTGGTCCAAGGTGGGAGGATGCTCAGTCCAAGGGGGGATGGTCAGCCCAGTGGGATGCTGCTCGGTAGAAGGGGATGCTGGGCTGTGCACTGACTGCCCTCGGGGCACTGCTCCCCAGGGATCACGCTGCCCTCCGCCTCCTCCAGCGTCTACTACCTGCTCTTCTTGGGGCTGTGCCTGTGGTGGGCCTGTCACCTCCCCACCAGCCGCCAGGCCTTCAACATCGTCTTCATCCTTATTGGGATCTACAGCTCCAGCCACCTCCTCTGCCTCTATGCCTACCAGACACCCTTTGTCCAGGGGATCTTCCCACCCCCCAGCATCTGGGCACGGTGAGTCCACAGGGACGGAGCTGTGCTGTGAGTCCCTGTGCTGTCCCACTTGAGCCATGTGCTATGCCAGTGCCGGGACAGGACCCTGGCTCGCGATGGGGGGTAAGGCCACCTTCTTTGTCCCCGCAGAGTGTTCGGCTTCAAGGACATCATCCTTTACCACAACTGCTCCCAGCCCAACACCCTGGAGCTCAACACCAGCCACCCCTGGCCTGTCTATGCCAACCCTGGCATCCTACTCCTGCTCTGCTACACCGTGGCCACCCTGGTGAAGCTGCGCTTGCGGTACCCCCAAGTGAGCTGGACCCTGTACCCGTGATGCTGATAATGCCTGGCATGTCCTGCTGTGCCTGCCCCAGCCCTGGCACTGGAAGGGAGTTTGGGGGCAGTGGGGTGCCTGCATGTGGGGCGCCTTGGCAGGGGGATGGCAGCGAGGTGCCCTGAGCTGGCTCCTGACCCTTGCAGGCAGCCACGTCATGGCCAGATGTGCCGCAGAGCGTGCAGATGGAGATGGAGAACTGGCCCAGGGGCACTGATGGTGTGGCTGAGGACACCGGCAGCGTGGCTGAGGACCCGGGTGGCATTGCTGAACTCATTGGCGGCACGGCTGAGGACACCAATGGCGTTTCTGGGGACACCAGCGGCATGGCTGAGGTCACCCAGGTGGGTCTGGGGGGCTGTGCCCAAGCTGTCAGGGACTGGGTGTGTGGTGCTCTGGAGGTGCCAGAGTGGGCTCTGAGCTCTCTCTGCCCCCCAGCCCATGTTGTCCTCCGGCACTGGGAGGCCGAACGTTGGCACCGAGAACTGCACCACCCACATCATGAACACCCAACAATGTAAGCCTGACCCTGCAGCCTCCCCCTCCCCAAACCCTGCCTGCAGCTAGGGATCCCTCACAGTCCCTCTCCCCATGCCAGGCAGGAGACATACAGCGGCATGGCTGCCCCTGCACATCCTGACCTTTGTCATCATGAGACAGAGCTACATCTGTGCCCTCATCTCGATGCTGGTAATGGACTGGGAGAGGACATGGATAGAGGGAGGGGACGTGGACATGGAGGGCACCTCCTGGGCCAAGCCTCTATCCTTTCTTCCTGCAGGTGTGGAGCATCACCTACCACAGCTGGCTGACCTTTGTGCTGCTGCTGTGGTCATGTCTCATCTGGACAGTGCGGAACCGCCAGAACTTTGCCCTACTCTGCTCACCCTTCCTTCTCCTCTACGTCATCACTCTGTGCTGCCTGGACTACGTGTGGTCCATGGAGCTGGTCCCTGAACTGCCCACCCATGCTGGCTTCATGAGTCTTGATCAGCTGGGGCTGGTGCACCACAAAAATCCCTCTGTTGTCTTGGGAGCGAAGGTAAGCACGGTTCTATCCCCAATCCGTGTCCCTGCCAGCACCTGACTGTCCCTGCTCACCACCTGTCTCCACAGCTCCTGCTCGTCCTCCCCTTCTGGCCACTGCTGCGGCAGTTCATTGATGAGAAGGTGCTAAAGAAGAAGCCCTTGATCGTCAAGTTCAGGAAGATGTCCAACACGGAGGCAGGTGAGGCCTCCTGGTGTCACCCCACAGAGGGCCACCATGCCAGGCTGGGCAACCATAGGTGTGGGGGGGACATAAGTGGGCCCTACCCGGCTCCTGCAGCCCCCTCCATGTCCTGCAGATGTCACCCAGCCAGGGAATATACTGCAAAGGCTGGGGTATGCGCTGCTGAATTTGATTGCCAAGTTCTGGATCTGTGTCTGTGGCGGCATGTTCATCGTAGTGAGCTTCGTTGGCCGCCTTGTCGTCTACAAGATTGTCTACATGCTCCTCTTCCTCCTCTGCCTCATCCTCTTCCAGGTAGGGGGACTGGAGACTCCTGGGGGTCTATGGCCAGCCGCAGGGTGGCCCCACTGATGTCCCTGTCCCTGCAGGTGTACTACAGCCTGTGGCGCAAGGTGCTGAAGGGCTTCTGGTGGCTGGTGGTGGCGTATACCATGCTGGTGCTCATCGCCAGCTACACCTTCCAGTTTGAGGACTTCCCCATGTACTGGAGGAACCTGACAGGCCTCACTGATCACCAGTGAGTGTCCCTGACCCACCACGGGGTCCCTGCTGGCACCAGCCCTGTGGTGGCACCAAGGCATGGCCAAGGGATGGGTTGCACATGGGGAAACTGAGGCACGGAGCAGGCTGAGGTTGAGCCATGACATTGGGGGCTTTATGTGTGTGCAGGGTAGGATGGATGAGGCCCTGTGTTGACCCTCCCTTCCTCATCCAGGTTGAGGGACATGGGCTTGGAGCAGTTCAGTGTCTCCAAGCTCTTCTACAACATCCTCATCCTGGGCTTCTTCCTCCTGGCCTGCATCCTCCAGCTCCATTACTTCCATGAGGCCTTCATGTACATCACCGACCTGCAGCATGCCCGCGAGCCCTCTGTGTCAATCTTCTCCGGCCCTTGGTAGGACCCTGTGCTGGGTGACACCCTCTTCACCCCAAGGCCCCTGTCTCTGCTCTGAGCCCTCCTTCCTACAGGTCGATGGAGAATCCAAACCAATCATCAGAGGGTGGGCCCGCTCCTGAGGACGCCGGGACCAGCATCTCCAGCAAGTCACTGGGTACAGGGAAAGGGTGGGGGACAGGGTGGAAGGGGGTGTTCTCCAAGCCAGGAAGAAGGTGAGAGGGTAGGGAGATGGATTTAGGGTGACATCCAAGTGTGGGAGTGTACAGAGATGGATTGAGGAATCCTCCAAGCCAGGAATAGACTTGGAGGGTATGGGGATAGATTGGGGTGTCTTCTGAGACAGGAAGAGGCTAAGAGGAATGTGGGAATGGATTGGAGCATCCTCCAAGTCAGGAAGGAGCTAGAAGTGTATGGAGATGGACTGGGGTCTCCTTCAAGTCTGGGAGGGTATGAGGATGGACTGGGATGTCCTCTGAGCTAGGAAGGGGCTGGGAGGGTATGGAGGTGTCCTGCAAACCAGGATGGGGCAGGAGGTAAGCAGAGATAGATTGGGGCATTCTCCAAGCCAGACAGGAGCTGGGAGGGTATGGGCATGGATTAGGGTGACCTGCAAGCCAAGATGGGACTTGGAGGGTGCAGGGATTTATTGGGGTCTCCTCCAAGTCTGGAAGGATACAGGGACAGATTGGCATGTCCTCTGAGCCAGGAACAGGCTGGGGGATGCAGCACTGGAGTGTGTTCCAAGTATGGGAGATTGTGGGAATGGATTGGGATGTTCTCCCAGCGGGGAAGGATAGAGGGATGAGTTGGGGTGTCCTCTGGGCCTGAGTGGCTGTGGGAGTGTCCACGAGGGTTTGTGTCACCACAGCGACCAACAAATGGAAGCTGGTTCTGGATCGCTTGATCGTGCTGGGCCAGACCTTCTCGAACATGCTGACCTGCGTGGAGGTCTTTGTGGGGCGTCTGCTGGAGCTCCACATCCTCAAGCTGGTGGCTCTTTACACCATCTGGGTGGCCCTGGAGGAGGTACCACTCAGGGTGCCGGGTTGGGGGGCTCGACGGGGCACCCTGGGATGCTGACATGGCCACTGCCCCAGGTCTCAGTGATGAACTTCGTGCTGGTGCTGCTGTGGACCCTCGCCATGCCCTACTGCCGCTTCCGCCACATGGCCTCGTGCCTCTCCACCATCTGGACCTGCATCATCATTGTCTGCAAGATGCTCTATCAGCTCGAGATCGTTGAGCCCCGCGAGTACTCCAGCAACTGCACTGAGGTGCCTGGGGTGCTGGTTCTTGGGGTGCTTGTGGCAGCACGGGGGGATTTTCCCTGGCTGGAGGTGGGGTCTGATACCCAGGGTGCTCCCATTTGCAGCCCCTGCTCAATGCCACCAACCTGAGTCTGGAGGAGATGGGCAACTCCACCCTGTACCGCGGCCCTGTGGATCCTGCCAACTGGTTTGGTGTCCGGAAGGGGTTCCCCAACCTGGGATACGTCAAGGTGGGCACGAGGACATTGTGGGGGGGATGCCTGGTGTTATGCCATGGTCCTGAGCATCCTTTCTGTGGCGACCACCTGGGGGATGCTTGGTGGCACACTGTGGCCCTGAGCATCCCTTCTGGGAGGACCACCTAAGGAGATGCCTGCCTGGCTTCATGTCACAGGCGCAAACACCCCTTTTATGAGGAGCAGCTGGGGCGGGATGCCTGGTGTCATGCTGTGGTCCTGAGCATCCTCTCTTCCCCCAGAACCACCTCCAGGTGCTGCTGCTGCTGGTGTTTGAGGCAGTGGTGTACCGATACCAGCATTACTACCGCCTGCAGCACAATGAGAAGACTTCCGACACCGAGGCCATCTTCAGAGAGTTGCAGTCGAAACGTGACAGGGACATGGACAGGGACAGGGACACGGACAGGGACACGGACATGGATGGGCACACAGACAGGGACGTGGACGGGCACACGGACAGGGACGCGGACGTGGACAGGGACGCAGACACGAAATTGAACCGCAACAGGGACCTCATCGCGTTTGCCAAACACTTAATCAACTACTTCTACTACAAGTTTGGCTTGGAGGTGGGAACAGGGCACCGTGGGGGGGTCTCACCGCTCACAGCACCCCAGTGCTGAGCCCCTGCGCCCCCCTGCACCCCAGATCTGCTTCCTGATGATGGTGACCGTAATCGGGCAGCGGATGAACTTCCTGGTGATCCTGCACGGCTGTTGGCTCGTGGTCATGATGACGCTGCGGCGCCGGGCAGCCATCGCCCGCCTCTGGCCCAAGTACTGCCTCTTCCTCGTCATCTTCTTCCTGTACCAGTACCTGCTGTGTCTGGGCATGCCACCCGCCCTCTGTGTGGGTAAGGGGCACATGGGACCTTTCCTGGGCTCTGGGGGGTGTGGTCCATGCGTGGGGAGCATGTGAAGGGGTTGGAGGAGGGGGCTGGCAGTGAGTGTTCCTGCTGTCCCCTAGATTATCCATGGCGATGGAGAGTCCCCATGAACTCGGCACTCATCAAGTGGCTCTACCTGCCTGACTTCTTCATGCCCCCCAAATCCACCAATCTCATCAGTGAGTATCCCCCCAGCCTTTGGGAATCCTCTGGGCATGGGTTGCCCTGTCGCCCTACTCCAGTCCTGGCAGCCACCTGCCCACAGGGTGCCCTGGCCCCCTATACCAGCCCTTGGCACCCCAGTGCCCCTGGAGCGCCCCCAGCCACTGGGGATCCCATCCTACTTCCAGGAGGGGGAAGAACCAGCTGTAAGGGTGGGAGGAGCTTGAAGGACTTGCCCCTCTTGGAGGTGGGGCTTAAACAGTACCCACCCCCCTTTGGGAGGAGCTATGGGAGATCCCTGCCCCTTTTGGGGAGGAGTGTGTTGGAGGAACATGCTTTTTTGGGGAGGAGGAGGAGACTGGAGAGCTCCATACTCCAATGTGAGGAGTTTGATTGAAGCCACACCTCAGATGGGGCAGAGCCTGGGGAAAATCACACCCGCATGGGGAAGACAATGAACCCCAAATCCTGGGGAGGAGGGGCCTGGGGTGCCCTATTCCTTGGAGAGGGGCTTGGTGGGTGCCAGCATTCTAGAGAGCCTCCCAGGCTGAGCCGTGTGCCCGCAGACGACTTCTTGCTGCTGCTGTGCGCGGCGCAGCAGTGGCGCGTGTTCGAGGCCGAGCGCTCCGAAATCTGGCGACGGGCAGCGGGTGACAACGAGGAGCGGTTTGACCGCGAGAAGGACCCCTACATCAGGGAGGAGAACTTCCTCCACTGCCGGTGGGTTCCCGCTGCACAGCACCCCGATCCAGGCTGGGATACCTCAGGATGGGATCCCTTGTGGGCTGGGAATGAGAACCCACCGTGGGATGAGACCCCTTGGAGTATAGATGGGATAGGACCTCCTCTGGGATAGGACCCTTTGGGGTATGGACAGAATGAGATCACTGTCAGGATGGGACCCCCACCCTGAAGTGGGACCCCTTAGGGTAAGAACAGGATTGATGGAACTCTCAGGCAGGAGTAGCTGCTGGACTGGGATCTTCTAGGATGAGATGGGACCCCCTTGGGGCAGGGAAGCCCTCACCCTAGTGCTGGGACAGGACCACCTCATGGCTGAAGCATGGAAGGGACAGAGCCCCTGCTCTGAGTGCCCCATCCCACAGGTGCTACCTGGACATGGTGAAGGTGGTGATCTTTCGCCACCTCTTCTGGTTCGTGCTGGTGGTGATCTTCATCACCGGGTCCAACCGCATCAGCCTCTTCGGTCTTGGCTACCTGCTGGCCTGCTTCTACCTCCTCCTCTTTGGCACGGCGATGCTGTGCAAGCCGACCCGCCCCCGCCTGGTGGTCTGGGACTGCCTCATCCTCTACAACGTCACAGTCATCATCTCCAAAAACATGCTGTCGGTGAGTTGTTGTCCCCACCGTGGACTCCTTGGGGTCACCTGGAGCGTCCTCTGGGGAGGGGACAGGTGGTGACAAACCCCGTGTGGGCCGTCTCTCCCCGCAGCTCCTTTCCTGCGTCTTTGTGCAGCAGATGCAGAACAACTTCTGCTGGGTGATCCAGCTCTTCAGCCTCGTCTGCACCGTCACGGGCTACTACGACCGTGAGCTGCTGGTCTAGGGCGGGTCTAGTGGCCTTGGGGGTGTGGGTTTGGGCTGCTGCCTGACCTGCCTACTCCTCTTGTCTGCCAGCCAAGGAGATGGGCAAGGACCATGACTGCTCCCTGCCTGTGGAGGAGGCGGGAATCATCTTGGATAGCATCTGCTTTTTCTTCCTCCTGGTCCAGCGGCGTATTTTCCTCAGCACCTACTATGTGCATGTCCTGTGGGACCTCAGAGCCTCTACCCTGCAGCCTTCCAGGTGGGATTGGGATCCTGGAGGGTCCCTACAGGTGCCAAGGTGCCCTCTTGACGCTCCCACCATCTCCATCCCCACAGGGGTGTTGTGCTGTTCCAGGCCAGCATCATGAAGAACCTGCACGCCCACCAAAGAGCCGAGAATAAGTCGCTGGCCCAGCTGAAGCGGCAGTGAGTGGGTTTTGGGGGGCACTGGGACCCTTCTTTCTGCAGCCACCAGCACTTTGGGGCACCCCTGTATATGTGGGGGTGCCTTGGGGGGGTTTGGGCAGCAGGCTCCACAGCATCCTTTGCCTCCAGGATGGAGCGGATCCAAGCCAAGCAGGAAAAGTACCGTCAGGAGCAGCTGCACCGCGCTGCCAGCAAGAAACAGGATGAGGCTGGGACAGGTGAGAGCCACGGGGTCCCTCCTGTGTCTCCAACCCCTCTCTGGGCACACAGGGGAATGTGACCCATCGCTGACACCCGTCCTGGTGGAGCCTCGTGGAACACTGTGGTGACCCCCTCCCTATCCCTCGGCTTCCTCCCCACACCTGGGGTGGGTGCACTGAGCGTGGCCGTTCTCAGCCCTCCATCTGCCATCCCACAGCGCCCCGTGGCCCGGCGGACCCGTCCCAGCAGAGGGAGCGGTGGTGGAGGCCAGGGTTAGACCACGCCGGAGGTACTGCCCTGGCACGGGGCCATAACAGGGCCATAACCTCGGTGAGGTCCCCCCGCCGGGACCACTAACACCCGTGGGGAGCGGTGGTGGCAGTGCTTTGGGCAAGGTGACACCCTGCATGTCCCCTGTCCCCATGCGTGTACCCCTAACCACGACTCCTCTGCTCCCCATTACTAACGAGGTGTTGGACTGGGGGTGCCAGGCTGGGTTTGGAGTCACCTCCGAATGCTGATGATGGAGGGGTCCCACCTTGGGGCTGTGGCAGCTGAGTCGGTTACGTCCCCACTTGGAGTCCCCCCCAGGGGTGACATGGCTGTGGGGCCAGCCTGGGTACTGGCTGTGCTGTGACACCCCTGCCATGGCATGGCCATGTCCTGACACCCTGTGCAACCCCGGCAGTGCTGCATTCTGGGGAATACTTCCTCTTCGATTCGGACAGCGAGGAGGAGGAGGAGGAGGTGCCAGAGGACTTGCAGCCAGGGAGACAGGGCCCCTTCCAGGTGGGCAAGACTTGGGGGCTGTGGTGGGGTTGGGGTGTTGGCCGTGCCCATGGGATGCTGATGGCCCCTGTCCCCCTTCCAGCTCATCCACCAGGCCATGGTGACCAACACCAGGACGGTGCTCCAGCAGCAGGCACAGCGGGCGCAACCCCATGCTGAGGGTGCTGCAGGTAGGTCTGACACCCCAAAATAGGGCTGGAGGGGCCAGGAGAGGAGGCAGCCCTGCCTGGTGCCCACTGTTTGTCCTGGCAATGGGCCTCCCAGTTTGTGTGTGAACACTCTGATGGCTACAATGGGGTTGAGCGCAAGCTGTGCAGCTTCTTTGGTGCCCACGCTGGTTTTTGAGATGGATGTGGGGGAACAAGAGGTGGGATGATGAATGGGAGAGTCCCAAAAATGATGTCTATTTTCTGCTAAGTCACTGCTATCCCTTCCCTGGGGGTCTGACCCTTGCAGGGGACCGTGGAGGGAGAGAGGCAGAGTTGGAGGCTGAAGAGCCTGAACGCCAGGAAGAAGGGACTGTGGCACGTCCTGGTAGGCTGTCTCCAGGTGAGCAGCAAGACTGCGGAGCAGGAGCATGCTGGGGTGGTCTGAGTGAACACTGAGTGACCCCCCCCATCCCTCTTTTTGCCCTGGCAGAGCAGAGCAATGTGTTGCATCGGGCACTGAACATGCTGCGGTTCCTGTGGCTGCTGTGCCAGGCGGTGGTGGATGGGCTGACTCAGTGGATGGAGGACTGCACCCAGGAATACATGGACATGTTCAACGTCCTATACGTGGAGAGATATATGATCGCTATGCATCTGTCTGCTGTGAGCCTGGGGGGGACACCATGGCACGGGATGGGGAGGTGGCAGCCTTGCAGTGTCACTGACCCCCTGCCCACTGCAGGGAGAGAAGATTAGTGATGGGATCCTGGATAGAATGTACCTGGACCGGCCACCGGAGCAGCCGTCAGAGGAGCTGTCAGAGGAGCCGTCAGAGCAACCACCAGAGCAGACACCTGAGGGGCCACCTGAGGGGCCACCAGAGGGGCCCCCAGAGGAGCTGAGCCCACACAGGTCTTTGAGTATAGACACCCAAAACGGCGCTGCTGCCCAGCGGGTGCAGAGATACCCCTCAAGGGAGCAGCTGGCCCTGCCACAGGAAGGGGGGCTCATTCCCCCTGAGGGCAGCCAGGAGCAGGTGATATCTGAGGGGTCCTTAGAGGCTGTAACTGGGTCTCGGCAGCGTCTCTCCGTGCTCCAGAACCGCAGGAGGACGGCCAGTGAGCTCCTCCTGCTCAGGTACAGGGACGTGGGGACAGTGGGGATGGGGCTGGGGGGCAGCAGGCATGGCTTAGCCTGTTCATTGCACCCTGCAGGAAGACAAACACCCCAATGCTGGAAGAGTCAAAGCTTTTCTATCAGTCCCACAACCGGTTCCTGAAGCTGCTGCTTACCACGTACCGCTGTGCGACCGCCCACTCTGAGCTGGTCTGCTACTTCATCATCATCCTCAACAACATAGTGTCTGCCTCCATCATCTCCCTCTTTCTGCCCATCCTCATCTTCCTCTGGGCCATGCTCTCCATCCCCCGGCCCACCAAGCGCTTCTGGATGACCGCCATCATCTTCACTGAGGTGGGCAGGGGGTGACCGGTGAGGGGATGACGCCACCCAGCCCCCCCACTGCTGCCCACTGACCCCAGCATCCCCACAGGTGATGGTGGTGTTGAAATACCTCTTCCAGTTCGGGTTCTTCCCCTGGAACAGCTACTCCACACTGCTGCGCAATGAGGGCAAGCCCTTCTTCCCACCACGCATCCTGGGCTTGGAGAAGAGCACCCGCTACCTCAAGTATGACCTCTTCCAGCTCCTGGCCCTCTTTTTCCATCGCTCCCTGCTGCAGGTGAGTCCTGGGGCATGGGCAGCGCCTGGGTGGGCATTTTGTGGGAGCTGGAGGTGCTCCTGGGGGCTTTGGAGAGAACCCAGTGGATGCTTGGTGTCTCTTCTGTGGTTTCCCACTATTACTTGTTGGGAATGGATGCCACGAGTGGGGGATGAGGGGTGTGGGGCTGGGGGGCATCAGGACTCTCATCCCCCTGACCATGTCCCTCCACAGACATATGGGCTATGGGACTGTGATGAGGCCTCCATATCCAAGAAGAAGATGGAGGCAGAGTGGACAGAGGAAGAGGAAAACCAGGAGGAAGCAGCACCCCCGGCGGTGGTGGTGTTTGAGGAAGGGCTGGAGGCTCCAGAAGAGCCAGGAGCACCAGGCTCAAACGTGGGATTGGAGTCGGAGGGTGATGCCGTGGGGCAGGAAGAGGGGAGTGAGGCCATGGAGCTCCGCTACAGGAAGAAGTCGACTCAGGGGAGGAAGACAGCAGAGGAAGGGAGCACCAGTTCCATGTTCTCACAAGGGTGGCAAGGCTGGCAGCGCCACAGTGCGGGGGACCCTGACTGTTCTGTGTGCTTAGCCTTACTTCCTAGGGAGAGGACTGGAGAGCCAGAAGAGAGCAATGCTCAGAGGAAGCTGAAGGCATTTGGGTTGTTGGTCATGTACTTCTTCCTCACCACGTGAGTGGCAGCAGTGCTGGTTGGGGTGGGAGATGTGGGGGGCAGCCCCTCTCAACCATTCCCTGTGTCCCCTGTGTCCTGTCCCCTGCAGAGCACAGAACATGTACCAGCCAGTGCGCAAGTTCTTCAAGGACATTCTGCACACTGAGAACCGCGCAGCCACCGACGTCTACGCCTTCATGTTCCTGGTCGATGTGGTTGACTTCATCATCATCATCTTTGGCTTCTGGGCCTTTGGGGTGAGCAAGGGTTCCCACAGGGCACTGACTGGCAAGCCCCCACTGCAGGGTGAGCGCTGACCATGTGCTGACCTCTCCTGCATCCCAGAAACACACGGCAGCCACCGACATCACCTCCTCACTGTCAGAAAACCAAGTGCCGCAGGCTTTCCTGGTCATGCTGCTCTTCCAGTTCACCACCATGATCATTGACCGTGCGCTCTACCTCCGCAAAACCGTGCTGGGCAAGCTCATATTCCAGATCGCCCTGGTCTTTGGCATCCACGTCTGGATGTTCTTTATTGTGCCAGCCGTCACTGAAAGGTACTGAGCATCCCCTAAGGATGCCCTGCCATGGCACAGTGTAGTCCTTGGGTGGCACCTTTGTGTCTCCGAGCCCACGTGGTGGCCCAGGCTGGCCAGACAGGTGGTTGAGGAGTGACATGTCCCTCCTGCAGGTTGTTCAACCTCAACATGGTGGCCCAGCTGTGGTACTTTGTGAAGTGCATCTACTTTGCGCTGTCAGCCTACCAGATCCGCTGTGGTTACCCGACCCGCATCCTGGGCAACTTTCTTACCAAGAAATACAACTACCTCAACCTCTTCCTCTTCCAGGGGTATGGCACAGGGCTGCATGGACCCCCAGGCACCCCAAGGATGCCGTACCACTCCCTCTCTCTGTGTTCCCCCCAGATTTCGCCTCGTGCCCTTCCTGGTGGAGCTGCGGGCTGTGATGGACTGGGTCTGGACAGACACCACGCTGTCTCTCTCCAACTGGATGTGTGTGGAGGACATCTATGCCAACATCTTCATCATCAAGTGCAGCCGTGAGACTGAGAAGGTACAGTCCCCCCTATGCCAGGAAGGGCCCCCCACTAAGCCTCTTGTTACTTGGGGTCCCCCTGAGCCCACCCAACATTGTCTGCTGTCTCCCTCCCATCTCAGAAATACCCCCAGCCCAAGGGGCAGAAGAAGAAGAAGGTTGTGAAGTATGGTATGGGGGGTCTCATCATCCTCTTCCTTGTGGGCATCATCTGGTTCCCCCTGCTCTTCATGTCACTGGTGCGCTCTGTGGTGGGCATCGTCAACCACCCCATCGATGTCACCGTCGCCCTCCAGCTGGGGGGGTACGAGGTGAGGATGCGGGGGAATGGTGTGCTGGGTGTCCCCTGATGAGACACTAGGGTCCTCTGCCCCCCTCATGGCCCCCTGTTCCCCCTAGCCACTGTTCACCATGAGCACCCAGCAGCAATCCATCCAGCCCTTCACCCCTGATGACTACGAAGACCTCACCCGGCATTTCGAGCACGACCCGGTAAATCCTCCTCCCATCCCAAAACCTGCCTGCTCCATCCTGCTGGGTGCCGGGGGGGGCTGGCAGAGGTCCCTTGGTGGGGCTGAGCTGTGTCCCCCCTGTGGCAGGTGGCCATGCAGTTCATCACCCTCTACGGCTACGAGGACATCGTGACCGCCCGCATCGAGGGCAGCTCGGGCTCGCTCTGGAGCGTCAGCCCCCCCAGCCGTGAGCAGATGCGGCAGGAGCTGCTGAACAGCTCCTCTGACATCACAGTCCGCTTCACCTGGTCCTTCCAGAGGTACTGCTGGCACGGCAAGGCGGGGACCAGGCCTGTCTGCACCCCTCCTACACACACTCAGTCTCTCCTGCCCACAGGGACCTCGGCAAGGGGGGCACGGTGGAGACCGCCTTTGACAAGCACACCACCGACCTGGCGCCCGGCGCACCTGAGCGCCTGCAGCTGGCCCAGCTGCTGGAGGGCACCCGGGACGACCCCGTGTGAGTGTCCCCTGGGGAGGGAGGGGAACCAGACCCCCATGTTTGGCAGGATGGTATAAACACTCCCCCCCACACACACTTTCTTGCAGGCGAGTGGCCAACCTGTTCCCCAGATATGTCCGGGCGCCCAATGATGTCGACGCTGAACCTGTTGAGCAGCTACTGCCAGGTAGGTTCCACCATGACCCCCCCAAAAGAATCAGCACTGGGGCAGACCAGGTGGTGTGTGGTGCCCTGATGGTGCTCCCCCCTGCAGAGAGGGAGGACATGGGTCCCATCAAGTCCCCCCACTGAAAAAGTCATCACTGGGTGCCCGCTAGTGGCCATGCCATGCCCTGATGGTGCCAACTCCCCTGCAAATGGGGAGGACGTCAGTCCCACTATTTCCCTCTGCCAATAGAAGTCATCACTGGGGACACACCAGCAGCTGTGCTGGTTGCTGATATTGCCACGCCCTTGAAGATGGGGAGGACATGAGTCCCACCATGTCCTCCCCCCAAAAAATCGTCCTTGAGAGCACAGCAGCCACTGAGCTGTGCCCTGACGGTGTCACCCCCTCAGAGGGCGAGGAGAGCTACATGGATGTGGAGGTGCAGCTGAAACGGGAGCGCAGGGGCCGAGGGAGCGACAGCTTTGTGGAGTGGTGGGTGCTGCGGCTGAAAGATGCCCCCCCCGAGGATGGCAACGTCCTGCCCATGATCATCTTCAACGACAAAGTCAGCCCCCCCAGCCTGGGCTTTCTGGCTGGCTACGGGTATGTGGAGGGGGCAGGGGGTGTTGGGGGGCTCCAACCACTTGGTGGGGTGTGAAGGGAAGGGGTGGTGGGATAGAGGGATACAGGATGTGTCCCCCCCTTGCAGGATCATGGGGCTGTACGTGTCCATCGTGCTGGTGATCGGGAAGTTCGTGCGGGGTTTCTTCAGTGAGATCTCCCACTCCATCATGTTCGAGGAGCTCCCGTGCGTGGATCGGATCCTGAAGCTGTGCCAGGATATTTTCCTGGTGCGGGAGACAGGCGAGCTGGAGCTGGAGGAAGAGCTCTATGCCAAGCTTATCTTCCTCTACCGCTCACCCGAGACCATGATCAAGTGGACACGGGAGAAGCAATAAGGGGAGGGGGGCTCCAGCCCCCTCCCCTCGCAGGGACATCACCGCCAATGCCTTAACCAGCCCCCCCCTCCGAAGCTGGGGTCGCATCCTGCCCCAGGAGGTGGTGGGATGTGGGGTTCTGGCCGCTCGCTTTGAGGGAGGATGTTTTTCTGGATGTTTTCCTTACGTTGTTTTGAAGCCATTCCACCTGCACAGACCACGTTGTGCCTTCCCAGGGAGGGGGACAGCAGGTGGTCCCCCCACCCCCTGGGTGCCCCTGGCTGCCAGGTGGGGATGGGGGGGTCAGGAGCCGGCCTGTACCCTCTCCCTTGTTGTCCCCAACCCCGTTCCAGAACTAGGTTGAACTCAAAAGCAATACCGCCCCCATCTCCAGGATGGGGGTCCTGAGTTATGGCCCCTCCAGTTGGGGGGAGGGGTTCTGGCAACCCCAGTTGGACTTCAGACACTTGTTGACTTCGAGTTTGTTTTTGTTTTTTATGAATTCAAATGGTTTATTTATACAGATATTGAATAAAACAAACTTGAGGCCTTCCTGGCTGACAGGCAGCTGGGGCAGGGAGGGTGGGGGGTCCAGGGATGTGCTATGCTGGGGTTGCCAGCAATCCTGGCCCCCAATAAATGGGGGGTGGGGGCTCTCCCTGCCCATGGCTGGAGCAGAAATGGGTGCCAGGGGTCCCCACCAAGCTTGGGTGTGGTTGGCACCTGGCCCAGTAGTACCACTGAGGGATGGGGGTCTGTGTCCCCACTGTCCCCAACCCCTTCAGCTCTTGCTGGGCTCCTGGTTGTCCTGTTTCTGCTGCTCCATCTCTGCACTGCAAGGGATGGATACACTGGATGGATGGACGTGGCAATGGGGGCTGAGCCAGCGGGGAGGGGACTCCCACCCCCCTTACCTGTGGATCCTGCGCTGGGCCTCGGCACGTACGTAGGGTGGCAGCGTGGTGAGGGGGCCCTGCAAGAGACGGTGAGGCTGGGGATCCCCATCCCCACAAAAAACCACCCCACTTGCACTTCAAAAGCCTTACCAGCTCCTTGAAGGTGAGGCGGCAACTGTAGCACAGCAGTGGAATATAGGCAGCTTTGCTCTCAGCCCTGTGGGAACAGGAACAAGGAGAGGGACACTCATTGGTGCCACTGGGGTGGCCTCAGAGGGAGTATGGAATGCTGGAGTCCCTTCTGTTCACATGCTCACCTCTGCTGGCAGCACCCATTTGCCACTGGCTCTGGCTCCTCCCAGATCAGTGTGGGTTCCAGGGCCAACTCTTCCTCTGCAAGAGCCAGAGGGCAGGGGGGCAATGGTGGGGTGCACACATGCTCCCCAAATCCTCTGAGCCCCCCATGCCCACCCCACTCACCTCCTTCAATGTCCAGGCCGCAGAGGCAGAGGAGGCAGCGCTGGGACTCACTGCTGGCCTTGGCTGGGTCTGGGCTCAGCTTCTCCCCTGTCCTGCAGCCAGCACAGGGTGAGTGAACCCCAATCCCTCAGTCACTCCCCCCACCCCACTGTACCTCCACTCGGGGGTGCCTGTACCGGTAAACAGTGCTGATGGTGGAGGGGAAATCCTCCTGCAGCCCCAGGAGGAAGCGCTCGATCAAGTGGTGGATGCTGAGCTTCTCCCGGCGCTGTGAGGGCAAGTGGAGAGGGCAGGGGCAGGATTGGGAGGTCTGTCCCCACCATGGGGGCACAGCTTGGGATCCCTAACATAGGACGTCCCTACCTTGGTGAAGAGAGGTGGTACGATGACGGTGGGGACACTGAAGAAGTGGTTGTAGAAGGCGATCTCCTTGGCCGTGTAGTCCCGCATGGGCCGCACCACCATCACGTCGCCATGACGCTTGTCTGTGAAGCCCTGTGGGTGTGTGGCTGCCAGGGCACTGTGCCACCACCAAGCCTTGGACACTCCCTGTGGCATCATGTCACCCCTCGGGGACAGGTGACCATCCCCAACTCACCGTGTCAACGGCGAGGAAGGCGCCACGGCCCAGCGACAGATTGGTGAGGAGCTTGATGGCCACGCGGGTGCAGCTCTCGCCTGTCATCACCTTGGAGTAGCCCCTGCTCCGGGCTGTCTGCAGGATGAGGTGGGTCCTGGGGATGAGGTGACACCAGTTCAGAGCCACCATGCCATGCTGGTGCTGGAGCCAGGCAGGATCAGCCCCTCACCGCAGCATCTGCAGCAGCTCCTCCCGTGCTGTTGCTGTCTCCACAGCCTCGAAGATCCGGAGCAGCTCCTGGGTTTGGGCAGTGTCAGGCAGGCGGGGGGTGCCTGGGGGTCCCACTGGTGTGTCCTGGGTGCTGTGGCCAGGCAGAGAGGTGGCACTGTCCACATCCCCCTCCTGTCGCTTCTGCTGGATGAAGCTGTCCACAGCTTCCTTGTAGGAGGGGCCGGATGGACTGGACTTGCTGGACTGCTCTGGCCCCGGCTGTAAGATGGATGGGGGCAGCTCCAGTGCCTGTGGGGCAGAGATAGATATAGGGGGAAGTTGGGGTGTCCAGGTGTGTCCCCTCACCTCAGCACCTGTCCCCATGTCACCCCAATACCTCCTCCAGATGGATCACATGGTAGGGGAAGCCGGTGGCCTGCATCAGGGTTTCCATGTGGGCCAGAGTCTGCTCCCGCTGCTCTGGGCTCTGCCTGCGCACAGCTCCCTCTGGAAGGCAGGTGGGCAGTGCCAGGGCTGTTGTCACAGTGAGGAGGGGCCACCCACTACACCCCTGGGGCCAGGAGGACAACTCAGGGTGCCATGGTCTTGCTGGGCTGGGTGGCAGCACCCTGGGCCTGGCATGGTGCAGTAGGATCCTATGCTGAGAGCACGTAGTGAGGCAGGGAGGGGGGAGTGGAGCTGGGAATGGGGCAGGGAACAAGCATTGAGGCTGAGAATGGGGCAGGGAGCAGGCAGTGGGGCAGGAAATGGGGCAGGGAACAGGAAATGGGGCAGGGAACACTGGGGAAGAAAATGGGCAGCAGAGCTGGGAGCAGCCAGCAGGGCCAGGAATGGGCTAGGAACAGGTCTGGGAATGGGCAGTTGGACACAGAGCAGGCAGCAGGGCTCATCCTTACCCTCAACGTAGATGAGGCTGGGGACGAAGCGGAGCCTCTTGGCCGCCTCCCGGCTGAGGCCCTGGCAGAGGCACAGGGTGAGCGGGGTGGGTGAGCTGTGTCCCTCCCGACCCCTCCTGAGCCCCCACTCTCACCTCCTGCACCTGCCGGACCATGGCACTGGAGGCTGAGCCTCCCGACAGCGCCAGCAGCACCTGTGAGAACAGCAGGGACAGTCATCGGCCCTGGTGCACCACTGAGTTCCCCCTCTGCGTTCCCCCACCCCTGTACCTTCTCTCCTGGGAAGATGACGCGGTTCTTGCCCAGCATCGCACGGAATTTGTGCACGAAGTACTCACGGAAGCAGCCACTGTGGGGACATGGGCACACAGGAAACCCTGAGTCTGTTCCACCAGCCCCAGACCTCGTGTCCCTGAGCCCCAAAGTCCTGGAATCCCCAACTCCCAGCCTTTTTCCTGAGACCAATGACTCAGAGATCCCATGTCCACAAGCCCTGACATCCCAGCCACCAAATGTCCCTGAGATGTGATACCTCAGAGACCCCATGTCCCCAGGCCCCCACTTCCCAGAGACCTAATGTCCCAGAAACAAAGGTCCATGAGACACAATATCCCCAGGCTCCCATGTTCCCAAGGCCCAACGTCTCCAATTTCCCACATCCTCAAGACTACACGTTTCCAAGGCTTGATGTCCTGAAACCCCGAAGTCCCCAAGCCCTGATGTCCCAGAGACTCAATATTCCCAAGCCCTGATGTCCCCAAGCCCAAACATCCCAAACACCCAATACTCCCCAGCCAGATGTCCCCCATCCCACTGTTCCCATCCGGTCCCTCACCGGCAGAAGGGGTCCCCGACACGGATGATGAGGACGGCCGTGCCCTGCCCGCACTTCATGCAGGTTCGGGGGTGGCTGCGGAGACACGGCTGGTCACGGGGGGCACCAGGACCCGACCCCCCCCCCCGGGGGCGGTACCGGGCGGGGGGCGGCGGTCCCAGTGCCGGGGCAGCACGAGGGGCTACCGGGGATGTTACCGGGGGATATCAGGGGGAGCACCGGCGGGGCAACACCAGAGGCAGCTCCGGAGGGTACCGGAGAGGTATCGGGAACACATCCGGGGGAAGATGGGAGCGGTACCGGGGGGTACTGGGGGAGCACGGGGGATATGCCGGAGGCAGCACGGTGGGGATGTCTGGGGGGATACGGGGAGGTTACCGGGGGTTCATCCCGGCCCGGGCTCCCACCTGTCTGCCGGTGCGCGGCGGCGCCGCGGCGGCTCCGCGTCCGCCCCGCAGCCGCCACCGTCATCCGACACGTCGCACATGGCGGCGCCGCTCGGCCCCGGTCAGTCCCGGTGGATCCTGCGTGTCCCGTGGGTTCCTGTGGATCGTGCTCAGTCCCGGTGCGTCCCAGTGTGTCCCGGCTGATCCTGCTCAGTCCCGGTGAGTCCCGCTCGCTCTGCCTCACTCAGGTCGGCCCCTCTCGGCCCCGCGCGTCCCGCCGTGTCCCGCCGTGTCCCGCCGTGTCCCGCCGTGTCCCGCCGTGTCCCGCCGTGTCCCGGGGCGCTCCGGTCGCGCGGCGCTGACGCGGCGGTGCCGCCCCGTGACGCCGCGCCCGCCCCGCCGCCGGCGCCGCCATGTTCCGGAGCCTGCTGGTGGCGGCGGCGCAGCGGCCGCAGGGCCCGGCCGGGCCCCCCCGCGCCGCCTCCGGGCCCGGGGCCGCGGCCGAGGCGCTGGAGGCGCAGTTCAGCTGCCCCATCTGCCTCGAGGTGTTCCACCGCGCCGTCGGCATCGCGGGCTGCGGCCACACGTGAGACGGGGCCCGGGCGGGGGCGGTGGGGACCCCCGGGATGACCCGGCCCCGGGGACGGGTGCGGTGCGGTCGCTCGGCGATGTCCTGGCGCTGGGATCCCTCGGGGCTTTCTGCCAAGTGACCGCGGCCGGCGACTAGACCCCCATCCCACTCCCAGTCGAGTACGGGTACCCCCATCTCACTCCCAGTCAAGTATCGGGACCCCCATCCCACCCCGAGAGGGTTCAGTACGGGACACGCCGGTACTGATGTATTATGCCAGCCCCAGTCAGATGTCCCACACCGGGTCTCCCATTCCCACCCCTGGGATGGTTCTGTACCAGGGCCCCTATTCCCACTCCTCCCATCCCGATACCGGAACCCTCATCCCAGTCCTCCATCCCGCACACTGGGGCCCCCATCTCACCCCTCCCATCCCAGGATCATCTCACCCCCTTAAGTCTGCTTCTGGGACCCCCCTCCCACCCCCAAATTCAGCCTCAGGACCCCCATCCCACCCCCAGTCAAATACTGGGGCTCCCATTCCTACCCATCTCATCCCAGTACTGAGACCACCACATCTCCCACCCAGCACCAGGACCTCCATCTCACCCCTCTCATCCCTGGACCTCCATCCCATCCCTCCCATCCTGGTACTGGTACCCCCAAATCTAGTACCAGAACCCCCATCCCACCTCCCGAGTGCCCTGTCCTCATCCCAGATCCTTCCATCTCCAGGGAGGGGGTGATGCCCTGTCCCCCTCAGTGTTCCCCAGCCTGGAGCTGATGTGGATGTCCCACTGACCACCCAGAGCTCCCTCTGCTACCAGACCTGGCTCCCACCCCCAGGACCTCCCAAACTCTTGTCTGTTTTTCCCCCCATCATTTCAGGAACACCTTCATCCAGTTTTCCATCTGATTTTGGGGACAACCCCAGTGGGGCTGTGGCTTTGCTTGGAGCTCCAACGCTGCCTCGCTCATCCCCCTCTAGCTTCTTTGAGGCTGGGGGCGATTCTAGATCCCCTCCATGATCCCCCTTCCTCATTCCCAGTCCCCTTGCAGTGGCAGAGGGTTTGAGGTGTTTCGTTCTGTGTTCCTGGTAAACAAGAGCTGGGTAGGAAGGGACATAAATGCCAGGATAATTGGATTTTGGGGACAGAGCTGCTTTGCCTTGTGCCTGGCGGTGCTTTCCTGCACCTCCTCCCCACCTGGATTCCTCAGCCACGCTCCTGGGGATATAAGGACCTTGGAAGAAAGTGATCCAGACTCTAATGTACTCACTCCATCCCTGCCTGACCTGGATACTCAGCACCATTTTTGTTTGGCTCCTTTCAAATCCAGTCTCGGAGCAGTGGAATCATCTGTATGTTCAGGGAGCATCTTGGGTGTTTGGCCTCCTCTCACCCTTTCCCAGCCTCCCAGTTCTACCTGCTGATCCCTGGGTTTTGGGGTGCTGGGAGTCCCTGGGAATGGGTGTGCCCTGATGGGGATCCTGCTTTCCTTCCCGGGGTGCTCAGTCCTGCTCTGTGCTCCCAGGTTTTGTGGGGAATGCCTGCAGCCCTGCCTGCAGGTGCCATCCCCGCTGTGCCCACTCTGCCGCGTGCCCTTCGATCCCAAAAAGGTGGAGAAAGCTTCCAGCGTGGAGAAGCAGCTCTCATCCTACAAGGCTCCCTGTAGAGGCTGCAGCAAGAAGGTAAAGCTGCCGGTCCCCATCCTGATCCCGATCCCACAGCCGTGGTGCCAGGGGAGTTACTGGCTGTTCCTGGTTTGCTTTGTGGGGTTCCCTGTTCAGCAGGTCCCCAAACAAGGGTGGGATGTGTGGATCTGTGGGATGACAGGAAGCTCTGCAGAGGGATTTGGACTGGCTGGATCCATGGGTTGAGGCCAGTGGAGTGAGGGTCAACAAGGCCAAGTGTTGGGTCTTGCCCTTGGGTCACAACAACCATATGGAACGCTCCAGGCTGGGGGAAGACTGGCTGGAAAAGGACCTGTGGGTGCTTGTGACAGCAGCTGAACATGAGCCCAAGTGTTCCCAGGTGGGCAAGAGGCCAATGGCACCTGGATTGTACTGAACACAGTGTGGACACAGGACCATGGCATTGACTGTCCTCCTGTGCTGGGCACTGGTGAGGCCACATCTGGAATTCTGGGTCTGATTTGGGCCCCTCCAGGACAGACACGGATGGGCTGGAGCGTGTCCAGAAAGGGAACGGAGCTGGGGAAGGGTCTGGAGCACCAGGAGCAGCTGAGGGAGCTGTGGGGGCTCAGCCTGGGGAAAAGAAGGCTCAGGGGGAACCTTCTCTCTCCAACTCCTTGACAGGAGAGTGGAGCCAGGTGGGGGTTAGGCTCTGCTCCCAGGGAACAAGGGACAAGATGAGAGGAAACAGCCTCAAGCTGTAGCAGGGGAGGTTCAGGTTGGACATCAGGAGGAATTTCTCCATGGAAAGGCCTGTCAGGCCTTGGAAGGGGCTGCCTAGGCAGGTGGTGGAGTCCCCATCCCTGGAGGTGTCCAGGAAAGGCCTGGACATGGCACTCAGTGTTTTGGTGACAAGGTGGGGATCGGGCACAGGTTGAACTCAATGACCTTGGAGGTCTTTTCCAAGCAAAATGATCCCATGATTCTGTATCCCCTGTGTCACAGCTGCTGCCCGGGGCCAAACTGAAGCTGCAGCTCTTATGGAACAGTGGGACCTTCAAAATCAGGTGGAGGTTTTCCTGCAGCATGAGAACCCTTAACTTTTAGAATCTTGTCACTACCTGACTGCAGCCCTGGAGTGATCCCACATGGTGTCAGAGCACTTTGGGGGTTCCTCCCATCAGCAGTTCCTGCTTTTTGAAGGAAAATAGAGCAACCTGGATGGCTTGTGGGGAACCTCTGGGGATCCCTGCAGGGACAATGCATCCCCAAATCTCCATCCTGTGAGGAGGGATGGGTGGGTGCAGCATTTCCGCTGCTGTGGGTCATCCTGCACAGACCAGTGGTCACTCAGACCTGGGCTCCAGGTCCAGCTGCAGTGCTGGCTCCTGGAAGGTGTTCCTGCAGCTCAGAAATGTTTCTCGTCCTCCTCCAGGTGACCCTGGCCAAAATGCGCTCTCACGTGTCGTCCTGCGCCAAGGTGCAGGAGCAGATGGCCAACTGCCCCAAGTTTGTTCCAGTTGTCCCCACGTCCCAGCCTATTCCCAGGTATTTCTGCACCTTGGGTATGGAAGCGTGTCCCTCCTTGCATGCCCCAAAATCCAAGCATGTGTTTTACCTTGTCCTGACTAATCACAGGGAGGAATATCAGCACTTGTCCTTCCTGGCACCCACAGCCCTTGTGCTGCTCGATGTTTTGGAGGATGGGTTGGGATGAAGGACCCACGGGGTGGGAAGGGGCTCTCACAAAACTGAGCTGGGCTAGTTTGGAAGGAGTCAATCCAGCTCCTTGCCTGGGGATCTGAGCTTGTCCTTGCTCTCCTTAGCAACATTCCCAACCGCTCGACGTTTGTGTGTCCGTACTGTGGGGCCCGGAACTTGGACCAGCAGGAGCTGGTGAAGCACTGTATGGAAAACCATAGGAATGACCCCAACAAAGTGGTAAGTGATGCTGGAGCACTGGGGTGGGCTGGGATATGCAAGGAAACTCCTGGGAATCCAGATACACTGGCCCAGGCCACCGGCATGGATATATGTGAGGTACAGCTGTGTTCCCAGCTGGTTTAATCTGTTTAAATCTCTTTGGCACGTGGAGATCTTTCTCTGCTTTGCTAAAGGCTCCCTGTTTAGCACTTTCTCTGTCCGTTCTCTGTCTGAAAGCGGGGGCTCACCACTCACCTCTCAGGGAGGTCAGGGCAGAAGGATCTGTGTCCAGGTGCCACCATTCCCGTGTCCCTGTCCCTGCAGGTGTGCCCAGTGTGCTCGGCCATGCCCTGGGGGGATCCCAGCTACAAGAGTGCCAACTTCCTCCAGCACCTGCTCCACAGGCACAAGTTCTCCTATGACACCTTTGTGGTGAGTCAAAAAAAAAGGGGACCCCCCTCCCTGTGTCTTGTGGCAGTGGATGAAACGAGCCCTTCCCTTCCCTTCCCGTGCCGGGATCAGCCCATCCCACTGGGAAGGGGACAGATCCTCCATTGGGCTCCACAGGAGGCACGTGGCACACGTGTTCCCCACCCGTGAGACCCCCCCCACCCCGAGGATGCTGTCCTGGTTGTCCTCACAAAAGGAGGAGAGCGAAATGCTCCTGCTCTCCACAAAGATTGTTCCATTAAACTTTTCCCCGGAGGAATTTTAACACAAAAAACCTTTTCTTTGAGGTTTCAGGAGGAGGGGGAGGGAAACAGCCCAGCCTTGGGGGTTGGGGGGTGTGGCTGCTCCATATGGGGGGTCTGTGACCCCTCCTGTGTGGGACTGAGGGTGTGATAGCTCACCCTTGGCCGTAGCAACCGAGGGAAGGTTTTGTTCCCATCCTGCTTTTATTGGATAGATGTCAGGGAAAAGAACCTCCAAACATTTACAGAGGAATATCCTGGTTTCAGAAACGATTAGTTTGTTGGGTAAACCAGATCTGGAGTGCTGGAAAAACCCGTGGCCTTGCTAGAAAGCTTCACCTTTTGGCCTCAGCTTGTGTGGGCATGTCCCATCCTTGCTGCCAGGTGTGGGATTGCAGGCAGGAGAGGGATGTGGGCACAAAGCACACCCCAAAGAGCATGGGTTTCATTCCCAGGATCTCTGTGCCAGAGGAACAAAGGTTTGCAGTCTC